ACAGTTAACATGATATATAAGTAGTAAAAACTGAAAGCTTTCCTTCCAAGACCAGGAAACATACAAATATTTTTGCTCTCACCACTTCTATTCAACATTATATTGTAGGCTTCACAATATGAAGGAAATAAAAGGCTACTTCTTTGGAAAAGAAGTAAAATTATCTGTATTCTCACATAGCATGATCTTAAGTAGAGAAAAATCCTAGGAAATCCACAAGAAGCTAATAAACATGTTCAAGAAGGCTGCAAGATAAAATATCAATAGACCAAAATAAACTATATTTCTATATATTATCAGAAACAATTCCATTTATAATTACTATCAAAATATAAGAATAAAATTTTCAAAAGGATTTCCACATAGAAACCTAAAATCTGCAAAACATAATTGTAAAAAATTAAATATCTACATAAATGGAGAAACACATTGTGTTCCTGGGTTGGAAAACTTAATATTGTTAATATAATGCTCCCCAAATTTTTAGAAAGATTAACATTTTAAGTGCTATAAAAATTCTTGCTGCCTCTTCTTCAGAAGTTGACACAGTGACTGTAAAATTCATAAGGGAATGTAAGGGAACCAGTATAGAAAAACAATTTTTGAAAATGAAGGATAATCAGCTCTCTGCTATGGCCTGGGAAAGCAGTGGAGGATGGCACAAGTCCTTGGGCTCCTGCACCCATGTGGGAAGACCCAGAGGAAGAAGCTCCTGGCTCCTGGCTTTGGATCAGTGCAGCTCTGGCCATTGCAGCCAGTTGGGGAGTGAACCAGAGGATGGAAGACCTCTCTCTGACTCTTCTTCTCTCTCTGCGTAACTCTGACTTCCAAATAAATAAATAAATCTTATAAAAAAGTGAAGAATAATGTTGAAAGACACATTTTCTAACATCAAAACACTGTGGTACTACCATAAGGACATGAATATATATATATATATATATTTCATATATATACCATATATATATATATGAAATGGAACTTAGTGTCCATAATAAATACATACATTTATGGTTGATTGATTGTCATCAACTCAAAATGGAGCAAGGATCTAAATCTACAACCTGATACCATCAAATTACTAGAGCAGAACATTGGGAAAACTCTGTAAGATATTGGTATAGGCAAAGACTTCTTGGAAACGACCACAGAAGCACAGGCAATCAAAGGCAAATAGACAAATGGGATTATATCAAGCTAAGAAGTTTCTGCACTGCAAAGGAAATACTGAGCAAAGTGAAGAGACAACCAATAGAATGTGAGAAAATATTTGTGAACTATGAAACTGATAAAGGGTTAATATCCAGAATCTATAAAGGGCTCAAGAAACTCAACAACAACTAAACAATCCAGTTAAGAAATGGGCAAAAGACTTGAACAGACATTTTTCAAAAGAGGAAATTCAAATGGCATGAAATTCAAATGACACATGAAAAAATGCTTAGGATCACTAGCCATCAGGGAAACACAAATCAAAACCACAGTTAGTTTTTACTTCACCCCAGTTAGAATGGCTCTCATACAGAAATCAACAAGCAATAAATGCTTGTGAGGATGTGTGGGAAAAGGTACCTTAATCCACTGTTGGCAAGAATATAAACTTGTGCAGCCACAATGGAAGACAGTATGGAGATAGACCTCAAAAATCTGAATATAGGCCTACCATATGATCCAGCCATCTCACTTCTGGGAATTTACCCAAAGGAAATGAAATCAGCATTTGAATTATCTGTACTCCCATGTTTATTGCAGCTCAGTTCACAATAGCTAAGATATGGAATTAACCCAGATGTCCATCAACTGATGACTGGATAAAGAAATTGTGGTATAGATAGATCTAGATATAAAAGTAGTATGGAATACTACTCAACTACAAAAAAAGAATGAGATCCTGTCTTCAACAAAATGGATGCAACTGGAAACCATTATACTTATTGAAACAAGCCAGTCCCAAAAAAGACAAACATCCTGTTTTCTATGATCTGTGGTAACACAGTACCAAAAATGTAATGTAGAGCAGTGAAACTGACATTTTGAGATTCAATGACTGTTTATAGCCCTTTTCTCTACCATTGAGGAACATTGTCTTCTTCTATTTGTTGAACTCTTTACTTAGTGTAGGGTGTAGGGTTAATCTTATGAGTATAAAGTAAATTGAAAGTAGATCATTATAGAAATCAAGGAAGGGCTAGGGCTGGCACTGTAGCATAGTAGATTAAGCCTCCACCTGTGGTGCTGCCATCCCATGTGGGCACCAGTTCTAGTCCTAACAGAAGAGCCTGCTACCCTCCCCAATTCCAGAATCATCCTCACATTCTACTGCCTTCAGGAATCCCCCAAGAGACTTAAATCATGTTTCAAGTTATTTTGGGCAGTATTCTGAAATCTTTTCCTCATACAACAATGATACACACACACACACACACACACACAGAGGGAGAGAAAGAGAGAGAGAGAGAATTACAAAGTCAAAGTGATTTAGTACCTCTCAGTAAATTCTATCAGAGTCTAGTAGCAGGTGTCTGAGTAGAACATGTGGCTTTCCATCCAGTTTTAAGTTCCACTGTGTCTCAGCCACATCCCACAAAGAGTATATAAAAGTTCACAAAAATGGCTCATAAAAGTTTGCCTGACTCAGCACTGTGGCATAGAATGTTAAGCCTTTGCACACTGTGTCAGCATCCCATATGGGTGCTGGTTTGAATCCCAGCTGCTCCACTTCTGTTCCAGCTCCCTGAAGATACACTTGAGAAAGCAGCAGAAGATGGCCCAAGTACTTGGGCCCCTGCACCCATGTGGGAGACCTGGAAGAAGCTCCTGGCTCCTGCCTGGCCCAGCCCTGATCATTACAGCCACTGATCATTGAATCAGTGGACTGAAGATCTTTCCCTCTCCCCTCTCCCTCCCTCTGTCTCCTTCTCTGTTTCTGCCTTTCAAGTAAACAATTTTTTTTTTTTTTTGGACAGGCAGAGTGGACAGTGAGAGAGACAGAGAGAAAGGTCTTCCTTTTGCCATTGTTTCACCCTCCAATGGCCGCCATGGCCGGCGCACTATGCTGATCTGATGGCAGGAGCCAGGTGCTTATCCTGGTCTCCCATGGGGTGCAGGGCCCAAGCACTTGGGCCATCCTCCACTGCACTCCCGGGCCACAACAGAGAGCTGGACTGGAAGAGGGGTGCCAGCGCCGCAAGGCGGAGGATTAGCCTATTGAGCCGCAACGCCGGCCACAATTTTTTTTAAAAATATTTTCCTGTGCAGATTAAGAGCAAGTAAGGCAATCATCCAACTTATCAATGTAATTATACAATTAAAATTTTATTTGTGTGGCCTAATTTACCCAATTGTCCTATATCACATTATCATATGATATTATTTTCTTTTCCATATTGCTGGCAAAGGAAACATCAAGTTAAAATATACCCACTAGCACAGGGACACAAAACACAGCCTTCACTTTTCACTGCCGTCAGCCACAGCCTGTCACTGGACACCCCTCCCCATGTGGGGTCTTTCCCTGCTGCATTTATCAGACGCTTCTTCTTCTAAGAGAAAAGAGCCTCAGGAGGCCAGGTCCCAACCCGTGTCTCTCAACCTTAGTGCGAAGACATTTCTAGAATATGTTCTACTACATAGTTTGGTTTCCCCCAGAGGAGTTCCAAGGAGCCACAGTTAGGAGCAACTCCACAAACTTTTCTCCCTTTGGTCAGGTGGCACTGTCACAGCACATCTCGTGTGACTTACCGCACACCAAAGCTGAGGAATCCACTGCAGGTTGGAAAACTTTCAACCCCATCACAAAATGCAGTGAGGACACAATTTTCCTGAATTTCAGTAAGACATAAGCTAATTTTAATTAACCATAACTCCTAAAAAATTTCTTTATAATTATTCAAACATGGTTCCAGTCACCCCAATTTAAATTTCTGAACAAGCTTAATTTGGTCATTGTATTTCACATAATAAAAGGAATCAGACATCATGCCCAGTGAAATAAGCCAAGCACAAAAGGACAGATACTGTATGATCTCACTCATGAGAGGGTATACTTCAAAGAGCTCACAGAAAAACAGAATTAAAAGGTAAGTCTATTTTTAGACAAAATAATTTTGAAATCCATGTATGGTTTTTTCATAACAAGCTTTTCCCATGATCTTTTTATAGTATCCTCATATGTGAAATCTTAAAAAGCTGATCTCATAGAAACAGAGCAAGAAGGTGGTTCTCAGAGGTGGGAGGGAAGGGGTATGAGGCAAAAGGCGATACTGATGGCAGGGTTCAAAGTTTCAGTGAGACTGTGGAATCAGCTTCAGTGAGCATCTGCCCTGCACAATGACCACAGTTCATAATAATACACTGTGCGATTAAAAATTTCTGAAACAGTGGATTATCATTCTCACCACAGAAAGAGAATACATCAGTGAAATTATGGATATATGCATTAGCATATGCAGATTAATTAATATGCATTAGCTTGATTTTTAAAACATTCTATTGTTCACCATATATATATATATATATGTGCAACTATTTGTGAATTAAAAAGTCTATTTAAAATGAACTTTAAAAGCACTTCAAAACAAAAAGGGGGGGGGGAGGGGAAGGCAGTTGACCAGAGGTTTCATTGCCCTGTTCTCCCAACTACCACACTACCCACCCATTCCCGGGCCCTCCAAGAAAGAGCCACCATCCCAAGCTGTCTGTCACGTACACTCGGGGGCCACCTCCTCTCCAGCTGACAGGACAGCCTGTACCATCACTGAAACTCATACTCGACTGTCAGTAAATTCTCCTAGGGTGTGATCTTGAACTGAATTTCCTTTTCCTTTTCTTGAGAGGACACCAGCTTATCACTGTGCACAGCAAACATCCTGCAGCCCTCCCCGTGGTGGCCTTGTCCACCGTGCCTGCAGCTGGGCTCAGGAGCCTCATTTTCCCCAGTGAAGCACCCCTATCCCTCCCTCATAAAGCCCTGTACTTTTGAAGTCTAAATGCAAATTTACCCCTTGTTGCCTTCATTGTTGTGATCACCTGCCAACCACACAGTCACTCTTCCTCACTCACTGAATACAGTAGAGTCCAGGTCACTGTCTTCCTTTTCAGCAACACTCACAAGGGCACTTCAAAAAGTCTGTGGAAGATGATACCAGAAGACATCTATTTTGGAGGGAAAAAAAATTGCAGTCTATACCTAGTGTTTTTCACAATACACATTTTCTACAAAGTTTGTGAAGATACCTCATTTTTCCAATTTTAAAAATTTTGGCACCAAGATAAATTTATCTTTTAATTCCATTTTCCACAAACTTTTTGAAGTATCCTCATACATCACCATTCTTGGAAAATACACTACTGATTCAACTCAACAACTTCTCTTCTTCATTTCATTAATCTTTCCTCCTGTTCCATTCCATTCCCCTGCCTTCCAGACCACCAGTAACTACTCTACTTCTGAGCAGTCTCTATTACATATACTTCCCTTTATCCATCCCCCACCTTCCAACTTTCAGCAAACTGAGCCTAGAACTTCAATCTCTGCCATTCTCTGATCTTACAGAGACCTGGAATTCTTGATCTGGCCTCTTTGCATTTTCCATCATTGCCCCCATATCCTCATTTCTCTCTTAATCCACTCACAGTCCATGGCACAACACATTTACCTAGAACTCTTGAGACACGCTTGATCTTCTAGCACCTTTTCTTATTCCATCATACTTGTTGGCAGAAGAGACTACTGACACCCCTATATCTTCTGCCTTTACCTGCACACTCAATCAGATAAATCAGAAGAAATTAATCATCTCACACCAAATGGATTGCCAGTTTTTGAGTAACTTTCATTGTAATACAACTGCATTCATTCACTTCTACATTATCCATGGCTACTTCTATGCAATAATGGCAGAGTCAAATATTGAGACAGAGGCTATGGCCCACAAAGACAAAAATAGCTTATCTGTCACTTTAAAGATACATTTGCCTAACCTTAAGAGCTAAATCATTCCATAAGAAAATCCATAATCATGCTAACTGGTCTTAATTTTGTTTTATGTCCTCAACACTCAAGTCAACATCCAACTTTAACAATCATGACTACTACCGACCTAAGTAAAATAGATTCCTTCCCACTCTTAACTAACAACCTCACTTCCAAAAAGAGAAAGAATATATATAAATAAAATTAAAATAAATAAAAATAAAATAATTTCATCTTACATCATCTAATACACTGCCTTGGCTATGTGCCTTTGTCAGGAGGCACCTGTTTCCCCAGCACTCAGTCCCTGGCCAAGGTGTCCTCTGGGAGTGGCTGAGTGATGACAGCTCCTGGATTGCCTATGAGACCAGCATCTGTGACTACCTGGAGCAGCAGGTCTGCGCACAGGCTGAACACCATCAACCCCTGGGCTGGAGCAGCTCCTGCCGTGGGGAGCCAGTCCCTCTTCTTCTGCTCCAGCCTTGCTCACCTGGGACCACAGCTGCTGCCCCCAGGAGCCTCCACATCCAGAGTAGCCAGTGCCTCCCTCCCTAGTGACCCCTCGAACAACCCTGGGAGTGTCCCTGCCATTGTGTCTGTGCAGATGCCGAAGCCCAGCCAGGTCCAGCAAGCACTTGCAGGGGGACTCTGAAGCCAGAGCCAGAGCAGGTGATTAGAAAGTACACCAAGGAGCTGAAGTCGCCCCCAATGAAGACTGCATCATCTGCATGGAGAAGCTGTCCGTGGCATCTGGGTACAGTGACGTGACCAACAGCAAGACCATGGGGCCCGTGGCCAGTTGGCCGCCTCGCCAAGTGCAGCCATGCCTTCCACCTGCTGTGCCTGCCGGCCATGTACTGCAATGGGAACAAGGATGGGAGCTTGAAGTGCCCCTCCTGCAAGGCTATCTATGGAGAGAAGACCGGGACCCAGTCCCAGGGGAAGATGGAGGTGTTCAAGTTCTAGATGTCACTCCCAGGCCACAAGGACTGTGGGACAATACTCATTGTCTACAGCATTGCTCACAGCATCCAGGGCCCTGAGCATCCCAACCCTGGAAAGCCATTCACTACCAGAGGCTTCCCCCGCCAGTGCTACCTTCCAGAAAACACCCAGGGCCGCAAGGTCCTGGAGCTCCTGAAAGTGACCTGGAAGAGGTGCCTCATCTTCACTCCCCTCTGGGTGGGGGTCTATGTGGGGAGCAGGCAGCCCCAAGGCTGTGCTGGTGGGGCTTACGCCACAGCCACCTCAATGCACTGGGTCCTTCTGTCCTCCGGAGGCTGTGCTGGGCCCATGGGGCCTGGAGCCTGGTGCCGCAGTTGGGGAGAGAGACTACCCAGCCCAGCCGGGGATGGGTGTGGGTTCCAGGTCAGTTTCTTTTACCTCAGATTTTGTTTGCAATAAATGCCAGATAGCCAATAATGCATATAGCCCGATAGCCAATGGATGCAATAAATGCCCTCTTTCCCTCTCTCCTTCTGGTCCCCCCTTGGAAAGTCATGTATTAATATTTCCTGTTTAGAAAAAAAAAAGGAAAGCTTCATTTGATCATGCATCCCCCTCTTGCTCTTCTGTATTTCTTTTGTTTACTTTCCTATAAAATTTCCACACCCAATGTTACCTACTTTCTATATCTCATTCTGTCCCCATCACTCCACTGCGATGGCTTTTATCAGGATCATCTAAGCCCAGAGTTTGTGCTCAGTTCTCACTCTGCAAGCCTTACCAGCAGCACTGGAGGGGGCTGATCAGGAAGTCCTTCTTGAAGGACTTGCTTCTCCTCATTCCTGGAACTCCACATCTGCCTGGATTTCCTCCAATCATCACAACCTTTCTGCAGTTGCTAGATCTCTAAATGTCAGCAAACCACAGAGCTTGTGTAGCCTTCCCATTTTTTCATTCCTCTCGCCTCTCCCTCTGGGTGATCCTATCCATTCTCATAATTTAAATGCCATCTCTAGGCTGCTAAGTCCCAAATCTATAACTCAAGGCTTGATTTCCACCTTGAACTAGACATCTAGCAGTCAAATCAACACCTTCACTTAAGACATCTATTTACCATTCTGAACTTGGCCTAATCAAGCATTAACTTCACCTTCTCCATTTTCAGAAAATGGTCTGATGATTCATTCAACTCCTTGGGCCAAAAAGCTAACAATTTTCCTCATTTAGTTCCAGTTCACACCCAAACCACACATGAATCTCACTGGTTCAGCTTTCACAACACAGCAGACATCCAATCACTTTCACCATCTCCACTGCTACATCCTAAACTAAGCCACCGGGCAGCCTACTGCCTCCATCTTGTTCTTCTACAGTCCATTCTTCACACTGCTAGAGTGATATTCCTAAACGCTAAACCACATCCCACTACCTGCATGTGGAAACCCTCCAGTAACTCCTCATTGTTCCTTACAGTGAAACCAAACTCCTTACTGTATATAAATATATAGAGTGTGTGTGTATGAGATATATATATATATATATAGCTCAGTTGCTATGTCCTTTCACTCTTGTATCGCTCTGATGATCTTCTGATGGCTATTTCCTTTTCAAATGCTTCCCTTCAGAAAGACCCTCCTGATGACCAGATGACCACATAGATTACTTTCTATTATTTTACTAATCTTTGTTTCCCTCACAGCACTTATCAATTCTTCAAATTATCTGCATATAAATGCTTTCATTTATTTTGATAAATATTTTCTCACCAAATTAAACTCATTACTTGCGAGCAAAAACTTGGTCATTCTTCCACCACCAGTACCAGAAACACTTTTAATATAAAACAGTTGTCTGATTGACTGACAAATGTAACTAAATAAAACAAAGTCCATAAATTCGCACCTACTCCTAAGGCAGTTACAATTTAGAACACTATTTCATATTCAAATGATACTTGGATTTTGTAATGTTGGGCCATTGACAGAAATATTGCATCCTTGGAGAAGCACAGAACCCTACTTTCTCAGGTAGTTATGATCCAGAAAGAAAATCACATCTTAAAAAGTGAGATTTACCCCCCCTCCAAACACACACACGTTCATCCTGACCAAGTGCCAGCCTTCCCTATTCAGATACATTCAGCAGCCATGAAAGCTCACATTGCGCACTGCACCATGGCATCTGTTGAAAATGTACTGGTCCCTAAAGCAGGCTGGATGACCATTCATCCACTGAATGCTTATCATCCCCATGGCAGTGGGTTCTCTAGAAAGATTCCTTTCTATATCACCTTTATCTCCTGCTTCTAACAGGAAAAACAGAAGTGACATTATAGAGATGACAGCTAAAGGGCTGACATATGGCCTAGCAGTTAAGCCACTTAGGACATTCACATCCCGTATCCAAGTACCAGGGTCCAAGTCCCAGGTCCACTACTGATTCAAGATTCCTGCTAATGTGGAGCTGGTAGGCAGAAGGTGATGGTTTAAGTATTTGGGTCCCTAAACCTACCTGGGAGACCCAGCATGAGTTCCTAGCTCCTGGCTTCAGCCTGGCCCAGCTCTAACTGTTGCTGGCATTTGGGGAGTCATTCAGCATTTGGGGGCTCTTGTCGTGTGTTTGTACACACACACCCATCTTTCAAAGTTAAAAATATTTTTTGACAGGCAGAGTTAGACAGTGAGAGAGAGAGAGACAGAGTGAAAGGTCTTCCTTTTTCCATTGGTTCACCCCCCAAGTGGCTGCTACAGCTGGCATGCTGCGGCTGGCATGCTGCACCAATCTGAAGCCAGGAGCCAGGTGCTTCCTCTTGGTCTCCCTTGTGGGTGCAGGGCCCAAGGACCTGGGCCATCCTCCAGTGACCTCCTGGGCCACAGCAGAGAGCTGGACTGGAAAAGGAGCAACTGGGACAGAATCCGGTGCCCCAACCGGGACTATAACCCTGGGTGCTGGTGCCGCAGGTGGAGGATTAGCCTAGTGAGCCGCAGCACCAGCAAAAATATTTTTCTAAAAAAAAACAAATACCAGTTAGCAATTTTAAAAGGTCTTAGCCTCACCCTGTCTCCACTGAAGCCACAGCTCCCATGACACAGGGGAAGCAATTGTTACCTGATGCCTCTTCTGCCCATCAGGGTCAAAAGCATGGGTGAAGCCTTGGACTGCTCTACCTAAAACACTCTTCTTGTCTTGTGGGCTCCAGGGCCTGTATCTCCATCCCAGAGACTAGAAAAAGTCAAAAAGCCTCTCACTTTGTTGAGTTGGTCTCCAGGGCTTAGTTTACAGTGCCTCAGCCTTTTTGCACTGCAGTTCATTTGTGTAATCACTTACCTTCTGAAAGGTACAGGGGCACACACACATACACACACACACAATGTTCTGAACAAATTCTTCAGGCCTTCCTCTGCTGTCTCTCCAACTAGAAGAGAACTCCACTTCCCTAGTCTGTACCAGAATATAAATTCCACTCATTGCACCAAAGCTATAACCAGGGTAAAATAAGACAACAATGGAGCTACCTCTATCAGAAAAAGTTTCAATATTCTCAGAACAAAACACTCTCTGTGAACTTCCTCAGCACCCATCCATCACTTGTGGATGGAATTAAAAAGCCATTGGGAGAGTGAGACCACAAATCCTTAAACGAAAGCCCACAACACATTTTGTCCCCTTTCTCTTCTTTGCAGCCTTCCTGTTAGCCTCGGTGACTTTCCCAAAATGACC